GGGGTGGGGGGTTTACCGAGGGGGTTAGGGGGGGTAGGAACCGTCAATTTTACGAACGGGGCACCGGAGCGCCCCCGGGTCATCCCATGACATTGGTTCCCAATGTCATGGGAACCAAGGTATATATATATATATATATATATATATATATATATATATATATATATATATATATATATATATATATATATATATATATATGCCTCTTCACGTGCCTAATACAAAGAGGACCAGTGCGCCTCACGCACCAAATGTGTGATTCATATCTCTGCAATCCCAAAAGTAGGATTCTTTGCAAAAGTTGGGCACGCACCCAAACTTTTTCTTGGGAGCCTAATCAAATCGCCCTATGTAATACGTGACTAATGTTCAACTTTCATTTATTTATTTGACCAAAACGAATTAAAGTGAAAAAGAAAGTAAGTTGAAACTTGAAAGCTAAAGCAACTTGACATTCACACTCACGTCCCACGCCCCATGTTTTACCGATTCCCAATACCTTCAACTCATGAACTACGGTTACTAAAAGGAAAAAATTCTCTCCCTTCCTAATTGAGTTACATTGTTAATATTTTGAATTTTTGATAATTCTTTTATGTATATATTTTCATTAATCATTTATTAAAATAAATTACTATTTGTTAGAGTATAGAACAATCATTCTTGGGTCACAACCAAAAGCTTGAGCTTTTGGTTGAGTTGGTTCCTTGACATGGTATCAAAGCCTTGATGACCAAGAGGTCACGAGTTTGAAACTCACCGCCACCCAGATTTAAAAAAAATTAAGGTTTCACGTGCAAGGCTCAAAGAGGTCACGCGTGCACGTGAGGGGGCATGTTAGAGTATATAACAATCATTCCTGGGCCAAAACCACAAGCTTGAGCTTTTGGTTGAATTGGTTCCTTGTCATGGTATCGGAGCCTCGTTGACTAAGAGGTCACGGGTTCGAAACTCAGCGCTACCCAATTTAAAGAAATTTAGGTTTCACGTGCAAGGCTCAAAAAAGACTACGAATTAACTTCTTGGTTACTATTACCAGGGGTAGAGGGAAGAAGGGGCCTGAGGCCACGTGCTGACGTGCCTCCTACATCTGCCCTGTAAAGGCTAAACAATCAAGACACGTGCCTAAGGCTCCAAAAAATTGGGGCCCCTAAATTTTACGGAGTATAATACACATATACATATGCGTGTGTTTGTGTCGTGTATTTTTTATCACTAAACTATGATTTAACTAAACTCTTAGAGTCTATCTCACATTGAAAGGTGAATAAAAAAAGTAATTGACATATAAACTATTCAGTTGAACTAAGTTATAACTACATCAAATTGAATCTTTTAATGTGAACCAACGTATCTTATTACTCATTCCAATGATTCCTACTCTATCAAAAATTCTATCATGGTATCAGAGCAAGTTTTAGTTACCTTGTTTGTTAAGATGTTCATCTAGACACTCATTCCTAGCGGTTCAGTCTTTAGCACAGTTGTCCGCGTTGAATCTAAACCCAATAACGACCTGTTGCTCACTTAACCCAATTGCTCGTCTTGAATTCCATGCCCGACTTGTGGTCTTTTAAGTGTTGGCGCTCAAAAAATTCAAGAGATGAGAATTATTTGCAAGTGGTCAAATGGTTAAATTCAAAATGACTCAATTGTCCACCTTAGGGGAAGTGTTAGAGTCTGTCACACTCAGAAGTAGAATAGAAAAAGTAATCTATATATAAGCTCTAGAGTTAAACTAAGTAATAAATTGAATTCATTCTTTTAATAAGGTTCAATCCAAATGTCTTATACCTAGTTTAGTACTCCCTCCGTCCACCTAAGTTCTTCCCGTTACGCGTTACGAGACTTGACCGACTTTATTTTCAATTCAATTTAATTGATTCTAGGAGTAAAATTTTAAAATAAAATTTATATAGTAATAAATTACATGAAAAGTTCTACAAAACTAGAGGTGACAAGACTATATTATTTTACGAAATGACTAGTAAAAATGAGCAAACAAAGTGAGTAAAGGTTGACCATGTGAATAGTGTCTGGGAAGATCTATGGTGGACAGAGGGAGTATCATGTATTTTACGAGTGGGCTCCTATCATGTTTTCCAGTCATTTTGTTGAGATCGTAACAAACCAGAAGATGAACCTGAGCTGAAAGAGTGGGCTCCATCATGTTTGTCGATCATTTTATAACGCGTATTGTTATGTTTTTACAAACATATATAATGTCAATTTTTAAAATTTAAAAAAAATAAAGAAAAAAAGTGAATTTACCTTAAAGAACCGCACTTTCATTTCTTAAGGTGAAATAAGCCTTTTAAAAATTTTGTTATGTCACCGTTGCATCTCTAACGTCCACCCAAAAACTTGCACATATGCAAAACGGTAGAATTACTACACTTAACATTGATAATTTGGATTATTTTTTAAAGATTGCATAAGCCTTAGATTATTTTAGATAATTTTTCTTAATAATAATAATAGTAATAATAATAATACAAATAAAAACAACAGCAACAACAACAACAACAACAACAACAATAATAACACTAACAATAACCAAATTGTTATACCCTCACTGAGAATTCAATTTTTACACAAACGTATGAAGCATTTAGGGGTAGACTATCATTTTGTTCGAGAAAGAGTCATTGTTGGAGCTACGTGTGTATCTCATACTTTCTCTAAAGATCAATTAGCTGGTCAGCTGACTAAAGTTTTGTGTGTGCCAGGTTCTTAGAGTTTAGTGTCCAAGTTTCCACTCGTTACACGCAGTTCAGTTTGAGACCAGGGGTGTTAGACAATAATAATAAGTAGTTTTAATTATGGTACGTAGACTTTGTATTTTAGTTGACTTCTAGTTTTAATTCTAATTATACTTGAGATCTCTTCTATATATACTCTGCTATGTATTTATTATTCTTTGAGCAATACAACTATTCTTTTCTTCGAACAAAATCTAATTGATTACATAATTTAAGTCAAAACTGTATATATAATGAGTTATTTTTTTCAAGATATGAGATACTTTTTTATATAGGAATCGATATGAGATACTTAAACAAGAATCATACAATTCTTTGGAGAAAGAGAATACAAAGCTCATGAGGCATTGCTCAACTGTTGACATACGGTGCTACAAGAATGAGATCCTGAGTTTGAAGCTTACTAGTGATCGCGATGAGTGGCAATCATGCAAAAGAATGAAACTTCTGTAAAAATCAAGCATGAAAGTGATGAAACCTCATCCCTACGCTAAGAGATTGATATTATGACCTAATTAAAAATCCTTTTGTGAAAGAGAATGATAACTTTATTTTAGATGTCCATATAAATAAAATTAAAAATCTTTAGACATCTATCCACTAGCCGGGGTAAACGCCAATTCTTGACTCGTCCCTATTCCTACTCCTCCTCAAACCTAAACTAGTAAATAAGAGGGGCGTAGTTATAACTTTTTCTTCAAAATTGGAATATTTCTAAAACAACCTATACGTACAAATTCAAAGTGGACGAATAGGCAAAACCCCAACCGGCGGGTAAAACAAAATGTACTTTGAAAGTGGGATGTGATAACATATTGGGCCAAAACCTCACTATATTTTAAATGGGTAAAGAGTTTTTCTCATTTACTCTCATCATCTCACAACTTTATTTTAATTTTTTTTAAAAGAACTTTATTTTAATATTTGTTCATTCGGCAATATTTTTGTCAAATCTCATATTTAGTCAAATTTATTCAAATTTTTAACGTCAAGATCAACCACACGATCAACTTTTCTTAGTTCTTGAATTACTCTCTTATATTCCAAAAGTAACAAGACAACTGGAGTAATATTTTCGCGCCCAAATATTGTTTTTAGAAAAAAGGATGAAATTTTACAAGTGAAATTTGCACTAAATAGAACTAAAACATAATGATTTTCCTAATGTAGGACTTAAACTTTTTTATTCTCCAAATAGGACTTTTTATTCGCGACGGCACTCCAGTGGCTGGCTGAGACGAATGGCAGTGTGAGAGTTACAATGTGACAAGGTTTTGAGTGTAGCACTATCACAATGGCAGTATGTACTCTTATTCTGGTCTTAAAAAACTTATGACTCCTATTTTAGTATTCTCATAATTCTTTACTTCTATTGAGAGAGTTCTCTCTATTTTAGTATTCTTAAAAGTTGTTTCATTCATTCTTTCGAAACGCTGAATGGCTTATAATCTTTTCTTCTCCATTCATTACTTTAAACCATATTTTACTAATTTTTTCTAAACTGTGTCAAGTAAAACTTTTTTTACTCTTTTATATTTTTTCAAGATTTAGGTCATATTATCCTTAAATTATTTTTTACTTATTACTTATTTTTATTGGAATCAAATCTAATCAGACTAGATTAGAATGTATTTCAATTAGATCAAAAGTAATCAGATCACTGAAGAAAACATGTAATAAGTAGGAAAAGAAGAAGAAAATATTTAAACTAGGAAGCATACATATTTCTTGAAAGCAAAATCCGTAGTAGAAAATAGTAAAAAAATACTCCGTACTCCATATCTTAGAACATACTCCCTCTCATTTTAAAAATCTTTCATGTTTTAATTTTTTTGTCAAACATTGACACACTTTTATCACTTTTTATTAAAAAATTATATTTAATTATAATATTAATTCAATATATTTAACTTCATCTTAGGATATAGTATTAATATATCAAATTTTTATATCATTTATTTGTTTAGATTATGTTTCATTTGTGTCTAAAAAATATCATCATTTTAAAAAAGTCCAAACATGAAAAATTTTTATTTTTATGATCTCGAAGTAAAAAAGGGAAGATGGTAAAAAAAAAGAGCAAGACTCCTTGTGAAAGAATGAACAATTGCCTTTCCTACCGTTAAAAAGATTTATACGGATGGGGTCCTTTTCTTTCTTTCTACAATAACAAAATAAAAAAATGGAAAAGAGAAAAAAAAGGTTTTTAAAAGAAAAAGAAAAAGAAAAAAAACTAGTCCGTACTTCTGTTCCTCTGCTAATTTTCTATTGGTTTATGGTGTGACGTTTTTCTGAAATCTGATCAGGAAGACGACATGTTAACATGGAGTGTAGCATTCATGGCGGAGTTGCAGACGGGGCAGTTTCTGGGCATGGCGGTGGACCCACAAGCAGAGCACAGGCACAGATGCCTGCACGGCAGCAGGAGCACACTCGGTTCCCTCTCCCCGCACCTCCGGCACATCCTCTCGTCCGTCGCCGGCGGCGTTCCCACCTCCGGCTCCTCGCAGCTCCCGCAGCAAGACTCCTCCGTTGCGGCCCTGCCCACGCCGGAGATCCGGTCGCCGCCGATGTGGGCCAGGGCTTGCTCGAGGTCCCACCGGAGGGAGTTCGCGGCGGCTTCGTTGGACTGGGCGAGATCTCGCCATAGCTGGTTTTCGACGCAGAGGTTCTTGAGCTTTTCTTGGAGGGCGAAATTCAGTTTCGCCATTCTCTGGATTTGAGCGTCCTTCTCCTTGAGCTTCTTCATCACCCTTTCTCCGATCGACGCCGCCAGGATCCTCCCCTGCTTCTTCTGCCTCTCTTCGAATTCCATTTTCATCTTCTTCGCCTGCAATTAAACACGATGGGTCAATCTCCAAACCCAGATTTTTTTTTACCATAATAAAAAGGGAAAAATTGGATCTGAGGAGGAAGAACAGAAAAAGCTTACATGGTGAGATACGATGGTGTCGATTTCGAGCTGATACTGTTGGATTACGGGCAGAATTTCTTCACCCAAGAGAGATAGGATCTGGGCTCTCTTCTCCGGAGCGGCGGCGGCGGGCGGGTTCAGAGACGGCGAATCTCTGGGTCTCTTTCTGGGAACCTGCTGGAGATTATGAGTGAGGCCGCTCTCGGTGTTGAGCGAGGTCTTCGCCGGAAGAGGGTCGGCGGGAAGGAGAGACGGATGGAGGGGAAGAAAACTCCCCGGGAAAGCGACGCCGGCGGCGGAGAAAGGCGGAACCGGCGCCGATCTAATCTCCCCATTACCGAATCCCAGCTGATGATGATGACGACTCCCCTGCACGCCAAACTCTCTGCAAACCCCCACCAAGAAAAAAAGCCCCCCATCATCAGATCCGAAACACAAGAACAAGAAAAAGAAAATCAAGAAACAGAGCATCGCATACATACCCATGATTGAGGGAGAGCTGCTGGGGGTGGAAGAGATGGAGATGTGTGGCATCAACGGCCATGGAGATGGAGATTCAGATGGGGATTGAATCTCTGGGTTGGTTGATGAATATAAAGAGGAGAAAGAGGAGGGGAAAACGTGAAGTGAGAGTGAGAGGGGAGGGGAAAAGAGAGAACATGCAAAAGAAGTGGCGAGTGGGAAGGCCGAATGAGGATTTGCTTTATTTAAGCGTTTGGTTTTTCTTTGCCTTTTTTTGGGATTAGAGAGAGAGAGAGGGGAGAATACGAGGAGGAAGTCAAAGATGGAATTATAAATATTTATATATATACCCCTCCGTCCTATTTGTTCAGCTTGACTTTTTCGAGTCAAATTGAATAAATTTTAAACTTTAATTGCTTTTAATTTATATTACATATTAGTTTAATGAAATAGAATTTTTAAAGTTTCCAATACGATAAATCTAATAAATTCATTTTTATACGGAATATTAAAATACTTTGCGGTTTTATTTAATTGAAGCTCAAAATTTATCCAGTTTGACTCGAAAAAGTCAAACTGAACAAATACTCTGGGACGGAGGGATGTATATATATGTGTGTGTGTGTGTCTATATATATATATATATATATATATATATATATATATATATATATATATATATATATATATATATATATATATATATATATATATATATATATATATATATATATATATATATATATATATATATATATATATATATATATATATATATATATATATATATATATATATATATATATATATATATATATATATATATATATATATATATATATATATATATATATATATATATATATATATATATATATATATATATATAAAGGGGCAAGATTGCATAAAAATTATGAGATCTTATGAAAGAAATAAGAATGAATCTGGTGCTTTAGATTATGAGATCTAAGGGTCAAGACTGCATAAAAATTAGGTGCATCGAGATGGTTTGAAAATAAATCACGTCGAAATGCACCATAATCCTTTGAAAATGCACTATCTCAAAATTCGAGCGCATGCTGCAATCTGAGCCGCACAATGCATCAGATCCAAAGACTAGATTTTATTCTAATTTCTTTCACCAAAATGCATTCTCACTTGAACCAACCCCTATATATGTGTGTGTGTGTGTGTATACATACATACATATACGAAGTATATATAAAATAAGAGCAATGCTAGGAGGAGTACATCAAAAGTGTACTCCATTTGTACACTACTCCATTCTCCACCACTTATTTTTAATTAATTTTTATTTATTTATTTATTTTTGAATTTTTTGCCCAATTATGTGGACAAAAAAGGAGGTGAGGGACAAATGGGCTGCAATCTTTGGTGTAACATTTTTCATAAAATAATGAGAGAGAGTCTAAAGGAGGGGGGCTAGTAGAACCGTACAAAATACTAGTAGCTAGGCCTTACACCAGATGCCTACTTTTCACATTTAATTGATTACTTACTCCGTACATTTTCCATTCATTAAATACGTAAAAACTACTCCGTAGTTTCCTAATTTTACCCTCCCACTTTACGATTTTAATTTCATATTCCTTTTAAAGTTTGGAAATTAAAATATCATCTTTCAAGTTTGTTAGATGTTTGTGGTCCTTAAAATTTAAAGTAAATTCTATAATTTATATTTTATAATATGGGTTTTCCCTATTTAAGCTTCTATTATTATATATTAGTCTGATTGTTCTTTTTTATGTGTATCTTTTCACAAATAGTCTTTTTTATCTTCTGTCATGTTCGTGTTTGTTTGAAGGATAAAATGTAATTTCACAATGATCATATATTATTCTTGTCATACAGAATTCAAGATGTCGTTTCTGATGCTTTGTTTGTGAATTGCAGTTGTTTTCTACGTCTACAAATGTGTTTTTCGTCAGAATTCTAGTCCACAGTCATGGTCATTAGTATTATTATTTTCGTCTAACTGACATCAGAATACTTCACTAAACATAAGGTTGATGTTAAATTACTCTTTTAGTTCTCAAAATAAATAAACATCAACATGACTCAATGTCAAAAAAATATTTGTAGAAAGCTATAAAAGAAGGATTATTTGGATAATATTTGATAATAGATGACTAAATATGAAAAATTCCTTGTTATAAAGGACCTATTATAGAATTATTCTTAAATTTATACTCATTTCATTGATTTTAATACATAAAATGATTATATTTATTGATTCTTATAAAATAAAGAAAATCTAATTATAAACTTGCATATGTCCCTTCCAAATTTAAAATTTGAGGGCCGCTCTAGTAACGACCAGTGTTTTGAAGACCGGACCGGACCGGCCGGTCCAACCGGTCAACCCGCGAACCGGCAACATATCCAGTCCGGTTCAATGAAAAAACCCGTTCCCCTTTTGACTCGCCCAAACCCGCCGGAACCGGTGAACCGGGTGATCCTGGTCGACCCGTCCGGTTCCCGGGTTTGGGCTTTAATCTATATTTTAATAAGTTTTTTGGACATAAAATTGAATGTAGGGGATGGGAGATTCGAACCCAGCACCTCCCCTTATTCCAGAGGTAGTTGTTTCCAAGTCAGCTACTCGAACTTTGTTCAGAATTTAGGTATTCTATGTTTTTATTGTTTTACGAAAGGTTCATACAAAAATAAATATGTATTAGGGGTACTTTTTTGTGCTAAGTGTGAATTTGTATTTATGAACTTTTAAAATAGTTTTAAAAATTGAGAATTATTTAATTTTTATTTGAAAATAAATATACTCTATATATTTTATAATTAAAAAATTGTTGTCTTTAAAAATCAAGTAATATTTATTAATATAATTTAATATGCTATATTTTTTACTTTTCAATCATTTTAACCAACTAAGTATTAACTTTAAAATTTCATATGTATATAAGAATAAAATATATAGTCTTTAATTTTTGAGAATATGAGTATCACCTTATTATTTAAGTATTTGTTAAAGATTCAATATTAACTTTTGATAATAATAAAAATAATAAAATAAAAATAGAAGGTGTGAAATATCATATGTACAAGGATATTAAAAAATAGATGGAGAAATAATAACATAAATTAANTTTTTTGTGCTAAGTGTGAATTTGTATTTATGAACTTTTAAAATAGTTTTAAAAATTGAGAATTATTTAATTTTTATTTGAAAATAAATATACTCTATATATTTTATAATTAAAAAATTGTTGTCTTTAAAAATCAAGTAATATTTATTAATATAATTTAATATGCTATATTTTTTACTTTTCAATCATTTTAACCAACTAAGTATTAACTTTAAAATTTCATATGTATATAAGAATAAAATATATAGTCTTTAATTTTTGAGAATATGAGTATCACCTTATTATTTAAGTATTTGTTAAAGATTCAATATTAACTTTTGATAATAATAAAAATAATAAAATAAAAATAGAAGGTGTGAAATATCATATGTACAAGGATATTAAAAAATAGATGGAGAAATAATAACATAAATTAAAATATTTTATTAACTAAAAATATTTAATATATTATAAAATATTATTATTATAAATATAGTTGACCGAGTCGTTGACCCCCGGTTAGACCGGTTCGACCAGTCAACCCTTGACCCACTACCTCGTCCGAGTCGACGTCCGGTCCGGTTTTCAAAACATTGGTAACGACACCACCCTCATTCGCCATAGGTCCCAAATCTGATTGAAGAGAGATTTAATAAATGCCTTGCTGATATTCTTCTGTTTGGGTAGGCAGAGGGAAACATACTTGTGTGGATCTTACAGGAGAATCAACTTTTGTTGGGCTCAAGGTTAATGGGTTTGTTGCTGGACAGATTGTTTCGAAGGGAAAATTAGGGAAAGTGACTAAACACGAAAAATCTTTCTTATAAAATAAACATGTGCTTATCTCATATCATTTACCTTTGATACATTTGGTTCCCTAGCCACAAAGGTTCTATAGTTCCTTAACAAGGTCCAGCAAGTCGTGCATAGTAATGTCCCGGCCACTAAGACTCATAACATTGTTTGTAGTAAGTTCAAATTTGCTATTCAAAACTCAAACGGGAGAGGCGGCCTAGCTTGTTGCCTGTTTGTCCGTTACTTATATGTAATTGGTTGAAAATCATTAATTGCAAAAAAGAACTCATTTAAAAGCAAAATATATTTTAATTTTAAATTATAAGTACATAAAATATATATAAGAACACCTACATTTCACATATGAAACTTAAGATATAATGGTAAAACTCTTAAAGTTGAGTTGTTACTCTCTTTGTCTTCAAATGGAAAACAACCACATTATAGATGTGAATGATGGGGTTTGGTTTATATCGACTAAAGGTTCACCCTCATCCATATATTCACTCTATATCCATCATCTCACTCATGCATCATTGGTTACATACAATATCTATCACTTAATTTATCCATCTTTGCAGTTAAAATGGGTACAATTAACAATACTTTTGTGAAATTTGCACTGAATATGACTAAAATATAAGTCATTTTTCAATGTAGGACTTAACCTTTTTTATTTCTTAAATAGGATTTAATAATGACTAGTGAGAAGAATAATGTTCAAGTGATACTGGACATTTAGTTGAATAATGACTAATAGATAATGACCAATGGTCCTACATTGGGAAATAAAAATATATGGTTCTATATTTAGAAAGTCATTATATTTTAGTCCTTTTTAGGTAAATTACCCAATACTTTTTAGTTATTAGTAACCTTTTATTACACTATTATAAAGAGGAAAAATAGTAATGATAATAAATAAACAAATTTCCCAAAATAGAAATATAACATACTCCGTATTTGTTATCCCACACGTGGAGTGATGTGTTTTTATCATCAAAATAATATTGTTTCATTGTGACAATGTGACACTGTATAATGTCATTCCAATATTTTTTGGTATTATAAGGCATATTTTGAGATTAAAATATGAAAGTCATATTTTGGCTTTTTTAGTCTATTTGTCCCCGATAGATCTTCCTATTACTCGTTACGAGGCTTGATCAAATTTATTTTCAGATTAAGTTATTTTAGAGTAGTTGTAAATTAAAAAATATAATTTATATACTCCCTCCCTCCCTTTAAACATGGGATGTTTTGATTTTGAAAAGATTTAAGAGAAGTGTATTTTGGTATTGAATTTCCAAAAATGTCCTTTAATGTGATGGGTAATAGTAAGATCTGATGAGTAGATTATTAGTAAAAATGTATGATGTGATAGGTAGGGTATGAAAAAGTAAGGGGTAAAAGTGACTTTTTAATAAAAATAAAAAGTGTTTTTTAGGACGGATGAAAAAATAAAGGAGAAAGGTTTTTAGGGATGGAGGGAGTAATAAAAAATTATATTAAAAATTCTACAAAACAAGAAGTTACAAGACTGTATTGCTTTATGATATGAGTAGCAAAATTAAGCAAACAAATTGAATTAAGTTTATCACCGTGAATAAGTTCTAGGAAGATCTAAGAGGGACGGGGCAATACTCCATTCGTCCCAAAATAAGGTTTATGTTTGGTTTATGATGTTTGACTAAAGTTATTTTCAAACTAATATAAACAAAAACTAGTTTTCAATTAAAAAAAGAATTGTATGTTAAAAAACTACATTAAAAATTCAACAAAACAAGTGGTGACAATTTTATTTTATTTATCAAATGATCGATGAAAATGTATGAAAAAAAGTAGACTTCTTTTTATAAACCTTAGTGCATAGATATCATAAAAAATTATGTCTTTTACAAAAAAGAAAAAATCTACTTGTTAGGTCATGAAAAGTGTGAAAAGGTTAGTTTACACTTCACCTTTAGAGCTTAAGACCATAGAAGAACAATTCTTATAAATAGTGTTACCAATATCTATTTTATGTATAAAAATATTGGAGTACGAATTAAAGCTCTGGAACATGTATAAATAATTACAATTTTTATAATTTGGGATGCAGGCCTTGAAGTTCAAGTAAAAGTGTATAAATAATTATAATTTTTTATGAAAGCTCATAAAAAGAACTTTTGAGTGAAGAGCATAGAAAAATTTCTGTTCAACGTCTCAACATTAACTTCTCTCTTTGCAAAGTTTTGTTCCAAAAAATAGTTCTATTTGTCAGAGTGTTCGTCATTTATCAAAGCCTAAAAAGTACTTCATAAGAGTACTAAAAAATAAAAAGGTGTTTCATATTTTTATTCTCTAATAAATAGGAGTTCGCGACAATGTAAAAATGTACATGTGCATATTAAATACTCCTCTTTTGTTTTTTCTTTGTCCCCAAATAAACTTCTCTTTTCCCTTAAAAAACCTTTTTTACCCCTTACTTTTTCATACCCTACCTACCACATCATACATTTTTACTAATAAGCTACATATCACATCTTACTTTTACACATCACATCAAGAGTATTTTTGGAAAGTCAACACAAAATATCCCTCCCTTAAATCTTCAAAAAGTCAAAAAGGAAGTTTATTTAGGGACGAAAGGAGTATTTTATTTCCATTTTCTAATAATAATTGCTTAATTGTATGTAACATGATTTAATCGTGGAATCGTATTTGATCCTAGAAAAAAATATTGTCAATAATTTTTAACCTTTTTTAGGTTTTATCTGATTTGAATAGAATTAGTCTGATCCGAATAAGTTTGAGTGGATACGATAAAATCCAATTTTAATGAAAAAAAGTAATTATAAAAAAAGTAAATTAGAACGTATTGTAGGCTAACATACTCTATTTAGGTAAAGTATTATTCTTTAACTTCTATGGATGGGATTTTCATGCAAAATAACATGTTTTAACCCTAAACTAAAATTATTGCAATATGAATATGTGACACTATATATTGATATTCTATAATATTTTTCGGTGTTATATATTAGCGTTATTGGTATTATAAGTTTTATATTGAAAATAAAATCATGAAAGCCCTTTTTTATTCTTTTCAC